ACACAATGTGTAGTGTATATGTCATGTATATAAACACTTTTTTTAAATCTTTTACAGACTGCAAACTATATCATACTCATAACTATGGAATACAATTAAATAAAAACACCAAAATCCATTGAATTGTTTGTTTTCATGAATTCAAACTTTTTTTTTTTCTGCGTGTAGTAAATATCATAATTGTACGTTATTTCTAACGCACACGAATAATTATTTGTAACCTATTCCTAAACATCGTGTAGGAATTCTACAAATGATTTGCTTGAAAACCGATTAAATAGTATTCACAGCAGTTCTTCAGCTGTCGGTATCGATTCGCTAATAAACCGTTTAAAAATGTTTATGGCGTAAATATTGACATAAAACGACGTCCCACGAGACGTTTGTGGGTATTTAAAAATTGCATAACACACTAATGTATGATACCGAAAATCAATATGAGCCGACCGTAAATTTTACTTATAAACTATTAGGGTTGTCGTCGACGGCACGGCCTTATAACGTTAAATTAGTTTCGCCGGCGAGTAAACGGCGTGGGATCGAAGGAAAAAACAACTGCAACAAAAAATATTCAACGGTACCGCGGGTTGTTATTATGAAATCCGCACGCGGCTATGTGTACAAGATGCACGCACCGAACACAAGGCAATATTTCAATCGGCTCGCCTGGGCGCGCGACAGGAGCGTCTTTTTAATGCGTTCCTAAAAACGAGGTTTAATTAATGTCGCGGCGGCGGCTGCTGCACCGCACCCGAAATTAATATCGGACGCCCCATTTGCTTACGGTTAATGCTTTTATTTTTTTGTTCCATTTTTATTCCCGTTACCGATTTTTTCGCTATAACGCAACCGCGGTGTTCTGCTAATAACACATAAATTCGTACTTACCGGGTAGGCGGGCGAACAGAGTGGTTCGTAATGGGCACTGTTTTACATGATAAATCCATTTGGTGGGCTATAACGCGGCTAAAATGAGAAAAAACTGGCGATTAGCGAAATTTTAAGACAAGAACCTACAAAATACAGTGTGCACGACAAATAATGTGGTCATAGGCGAGGTTTTCGGCAGCTTTGGCTTTTCAAAACTTCTAATGATTTGAAAGCGAAGTTTAATTATCAAAATAGACTTGAATCAAAAAGTTATTGTCTCACTTGTCTTACATCTGATGTGAATTAGTTTTGAACAATCGTATTATATTTTTCAAAATTGTAACACAAAATGAACCACTTATATTTTCAGAAATCGCAAATTGTATTCGATTATTTGACATTTTCAAATAACCGAAATAAACGCTTTTTTATGGTTTTTTACACAGATTATATTGAACGTATATTAGTACCACGAAATGTTACATTTTAATACAAAAATGACTAAAATTATAAAAATAGTTCATAAAATGTACTTTTTGTTATTTTATCAAAATTTATTCTTATTGAAAATTAATAATTTAAAACTATTATTACTTAAAGAATAAACATTTTCTAGTTTCAATAGTCTATACTAACCCTCCTCTCGGTTATTATTAATCTTATATTATTTTTAAAAATATTAAGATTAAAATCTTTAATATTCACATTTTTTTATGGGACGTTTTTAGCGTCCAATATCTTTAATGATTCCTGTAAACAATTTTTATTGCAATATTAGTCACTCAAACTGATAGAGGAAACTGGGAAGTATGGACACCCCCAAAATACACAACAACAAAGATAACGCACACATACGTCAATAGTAATAGCTCTGCTGACCATAATTATTTCCCATGCTGGTCTCCTGAGGCAAACATAGAAAATGCACACATTATTATTGCTTTGTCTTTGTCAGACCTCTTCCTACAGAGAGCATTTTAGCGAAGGACAGAGTACGACGACAACAGGAAGAAAAACCACGACGCATACTATCATTTAACGTTCTTGTTTTGGCTGTCGTTCCATTATCGCCTTCGACCCGCCACACCGTGTCCATGTGCTTTATTGGAATGAGGAGGTGCTGCAACAACAGTAATCAACCGGACTTGCTAAATGAACCTCGTGTGTCACGTCGTTTCGACGCTCCGACTCGCCCCATCAATCCCTTTCGATCTCCCTTTTCATTTTCACGACTGTGTTCCCAAAAACATTACATCACCGCCGATGGCAACTTTGAAAACACTCAATACGGTGGTCGTATATATATATATATATGTGCCCGTTGCTACTCCCTGAATCGTGATCCCTTGGGATTCAATTTTCAGAAACCAAACGGGCAAAACTTTTAACGTTTAAGGTTTTTGTACAACGTATGCATCACATGCACCTACGTGATGAGTAAGGCAGCGCGTAGTATTCTTTCTAATGGACAACTTGCTTTCTTTAATCATATTAATTAACGTGGTGCTTGGAATATCCGAAGAATATATTGGCTACTAAATCGAGTATTTTTTCTGGAAGTTGTAAAAACAAATTAAATGCGCCTAGTTAAACTATTTGTGATCTTAAATAATTTGTTAGCAACTTTTCTAAAAAGTACTACATAAATAAGCATAACTAAAATACAATTTTTTAGGATGCTAAAATCAATTTCCTCTATCCTAAACATTTTAAAATAACTATAAATATAATTGCCTATATTTTTCAAGGCTGAACCCCCTTAGCTCTCCAAGTTATATGTATGACTAATTAATATTTTTAGATTAAAATTACTCAAAATTATGTACTGTAGCTTCGCTCAAAAATTGAATATACGGATATTTATATACAAAAAAAAAAATGAAATATTTCCTGTATAAAGACATCACGGAATGTCGTTTGTCAATAAACCCTTCTTTATGGTACATAATATAAATGCTCACGCCTTATAACTTAAAAATGGTAAATGTAAATACATAACACCACAGTAAATTATTTTTTCATATCTAGTGCGTATAACATAATTTATTACAAATGACAGCTTTAATTTTAATAATACAAATATTATCAATCATTATATCAGAAGTTTTTTTTTTGCATTTTTTTATATTTCATAAAACAATATATTAAATACACAAAAAAATTATTAGAAAACAAAATTTATATTTTTTTATTATTAAATTTCATTTTTTAAATTTTAACTTCGATGCGTTGCTGATACACTATTAGTTTTACTCTGTCGTGTTTTTTATTTTTAAAATAGTTTTTATAACTAGGAGTTATTTTGCATTTTGCTTATAAACTAATTTTATTTATACATTAATTTAAATGTAATATAAAAAAATTATTTTCTTTCCTCAATATTGATTTGATTAAAATGCTTATTTACTTTATCTTACAATCAACATGATTGTACATGATTGAGATGACTCTTAAAATTATCTAATCAAACGCTTTAAAAATATTTTCAATTACATAATGCCTACATCTAAAATCTATATTTCAATGTCACTACAATATTTCACAAAATATGTTGCCCTTTTATCAAAGTAAAATGCTACGATGTATAGATTTATTTGAGTTAATTATGCCCAAAACATAAAAAAAAGTCTTAAAATGAAAATATATATTTGATAAATAGTATTTTTTTCATTTATATTCTTCGACCACTGTAAAATTAATTTATTAATAGTAATAGTTACTATAAATAAATACAATTATAATAATTATAAATAAATTACATTACTATATTTAAATAAAACTTACCTTATAAGCCAGATAACATTTTTTTGTAATCTCCAAGTAAAATAATAATAATAACTTGAAAAATTGTTTAGTAAACTGAATTTTCGTATACAAACTTTTGATCAAAAATGAATTTATGTATTAGAATATGAAATTTTGTAGAGTTTATTTTTCTCAATAAGTGTTGAAATCAAGGTGGATTTATCTACCTTGGTTATAATCATAAAATTATTAATTTCCCTCCAAAACTAAATTTAGTGATATCGTAAGCAATAGAAACGTGAATTGACTTAGGGAAGTTACTGATTTCTTGTTTGAAATTTTTCTGTATGTTTAGTATCAATATAACAAACTCCAATTTTACCCAAAATAATTTTTTTTCTAGAGCCATAATATATACTTAATCATACTTAAATGGATAACATGATTAATAATTAACAGTTAATATTGAAATCAGTTTCAACAATTTTATGAAAAGAATTACAATAGTTAATGAAACCATCTGGGCAGCATTGAAAATTGTTAACGCTATCGACAAAATTAAGATGTATCCACGAATAATTAATTTTCTTTGAACTGAAAACAAACATAAGGTAGGAAACGAGAGAAGCGTCTAAAAACTGTGTAGAAAACTGGTCCCCAGAGACCGTTAAAAACTCCCGTGACTCTCGAGGTGACTTTAGACTTGTACTTCACAGGGTTCCGGCTAAAAAATTAAGAGGTACATACTGGGTTTTATGATTAAGTCAGTACTATACCAACGGTAACAAATAACAACCATTGCCACCGACTAGGGAAATCGCATAATATAATGAAAACTACTCGCCTTTTTAACCCCTTGCGAGCAATTTCAGATTTTTACACGCTTTTCCTGATGTTTAATTTTCTTTAGAATCTCTTTAGTTTTGAAATAAATGAGTAACGACATTTTTTTATGAGCCTTATGCAAAGGCTGGAACAAACAATTTGTGATACTAGGTATTTAAGTAAATACACAAATGTTTAGCCGTTTTATTTAGTACCACAATGTTTTGTATACTTAAGTGAAGGGAGTTCAACTAAGAAACGTCTTACAATAAAATGGTTAAACCGACATTTTCAAAGTACTAGCTTAAAAGTTAAATTTTATAAATTTTCTTTTTTTAATCATTTTTTATATTATACGATAATTAAATATGAATGTTGTAGTTTAAATAAATTGGCACTCTTATAGAGTATTAAGGATGAACCGAAAAATACTTTAAAAATTAGTAATTAAGAAAAATATATGATCAGAGACAAAAAAAAAAAATTCCTGAATTAAATTTTATTTTTTATTAATTGAAAGTGTTATGATAAACAGATCTACCAATATAACACAAAATGTAAAGTTTAATAAAGTATAAGAAAACTTTTATTATTAATTAATAATTTAATAAATTTTGTTTCCAAGTAACATAGTATATAATAACGAGATCTACTTATTCATATTCAATGAAATGTGTACAAATAAATCAGACATTTATTTTCACTTAGTAAGTGAAATGGTGAAAATAAAATAAAATTTGTAGTATAAATTAATAAACAATTATTCATAAAAAAAAATAATATTATCTAATAAAAATATGGCTTACTATAATTTTTTATAAAACACTATATAAATAAATAGTAGAAATGAATTTTTTTTTTAATGCAATTTTTTATTATTTTTAGATGCTATATTTTAAAAAGTTTTCAGCAACAATTTTCAAATTATAAACATAAAATAATTAAGCATTAATATTTACTTAAGTTAGATAATTCCTTAACATTTTGAACTATTTTTAAATTTTATATAAACCATATATATTATATAATTTATATTTTATAATTTTATACATAGAAAACATGTTAATAACTGACTTATTTGTCATTATATTTTTGTTCGAAAAAAAAAATACTATTTTTAGAACACATTTCAAAGTCCAAAGGAATGTGGATTAGGAGCAGAGTCTCTTCTATTTACTATCATGCGTAACTGATCATTTGTCTTGTTAGTAGCAACTTCTTTTATTGAAGTTAGTGTTTTTTGTAGCCATGGAGGAAGAGTATTCTTTGATGCCTGAAGTTCTGTAAACGTAACACCTAGCCTGTGTCCTAAATCCTGTTAACATGGAGCCTTAAAGATACGTTATTTTGTAATAACTTACATACAATTTTATTACATACCTGATTTCGACACTCAGATTCTACTAGAGCTAGTTTGGTTTGAGCTAGTTCTATTTCAAGCTCAGTGATTCGTTTAGAGAGTTTACTTTCATCAGTTTGACTAGTTGAAGCATCACTACTTTTCGAGGAAGAGTCATTATTTAATAAAGGATTTTCTAAAAATGACCTACACTTACTGCATTCACCTAATGTATTCTAAATAAAATTATTTTTGTAAATTATGTATATAATATTAGAAAAAAAAACATTTAAAAAGCATACTTTAAGTAATTTTATCACAGCTCTCATAGAAGCTTGTTCAGCATCTAATCTTTGACATATCTAAAAATTATTTTTAACATATGTATTACATAATAAATATACATTGTTTTTATTAGGAAACTCACTTGTTTATATTCTTTAATAATTGTCTGATCTCTAGTAATTTCTGAATCCGCTTTATTAATTTCTTTTTTCAATATATTTTTCACCTAAAATATATTTTAAATTTTGCTTATTAAGTATTACAATGATTTTCTTACGATTTATATTGTTTAAAAATTCAAAAGATTTTAAAATATGACATATTTTACATTGTGTAGATCTTAATTATGTAAAATAGTTTTACTCTATTACATATATTTTACTATAAAACTTATGAGTAATATAAATTTTTAATATGATAATTTGATAATGTTTAAGGAAAACATACTCATTTAGAAATGTGTAAAATGAAGTCTACATAAAAATACATTTTTTGATCAAACAATTTCAACTAAACAATTAGTTTATTGGACATATAGAATATTAGCTTTTCCAATAGTTTTAATTTGTTAAAGTAGAAGGTAGAGTTTTTAAATATTTTGAAGTTAAACTTAGTGTTATGAGTTTAATAAACTACAATGTAATTATTAGAAAATAGTATTTTAAACATAATAAGATAATTTTGAAGTAGTATTAAGATGAGAAATAATGTCAAAATCACTACTTCATTGGATATACAATAAATAAATAATTTTATAAAAATTAAATTGACAATTTTTTTTATGATACAAACCCTAGTAAGCTCTTCTTCTAAACGATTTTTTTCTTCCTCAGTTTGTTTTAAGGTCATTTTTACTTGATCTAATTCACTTGTAAAACTTTCAGCATTTTCTTGTGCTTCTATAAATATATGTCAACACATAGATTTGTTTATTTTAATTATTTTTACAATTTCATTATATTAAAATACCTTTTAAAGTTAAAAATTGTTGTTCATATTTTTTCAGTTTTTTTAATTTTATTGCACATGCGTTTTTTATTAGTTGTTTAGCTACTTCATCATTTCTAACTTTTTTTGGCATAGTCACTCTAAAATATTTGAGAATATTTTCAAAATCTAACTGCAGTAAATCTTTTTTGCAAAACTAAAATTAAAGAATTCAATTATGACAAAATATTAAAATTGCCTATTTTTATCATGTTTCTTTTTATACTTGTAACAACGCAATTGCAACTTGAAATAAAGTGTCCAGTCCTTGAAGAAGTATAACATCCATGATACGAAATACAAAAAATAGTGGAAATCTGGCCGTAAAAAGAGTAAGAAACCATTGAGAAGCATACATATGGGCTTCAATACCATTGGTATTAAAATGATTGTATAATTGAGGTATTTGTTCCTTATTAGTAATTGAATATTTATTAAATTATTATATAAAATTATTAGAATAATACATACTTCCATTAATTTGTTTAATTGATAAAGTTTTAAATAGACTGTTTCAAATCCGTCCTTATAAAATTCTCGTAATCCATAATCATACATCAGTTTTAATAAGACACAAAAAGCTTGTTCTTCTGGCATCTATGAAAAATCATAAAAAAATTTTAACACAAACCACCGAGTTTTTTAGTTATTATATTCAATTTATCTATATCTCTTTAACCTTTACCCCAACTATATGGGGCCAGATTTTACACCCGCTGTTGAACTGATGCAACCTCATTAGGGCAAAAGAGCCAGAAAGCGAGTAAGGTGTGGGTCACTGTTAGTTATATATATAATTTAATACCACTCCAGGAACCAACAGCAAACAACACAGCTGACACATTGGCGTTAAGGCGAACACTGAATAATACAATGCCCCATACTATGATCCATAAGTTTTTATACTCAATTAATTATAATAAATATACTTAATAATTTATTCCATTATTTTATCTTCCGATGTTTAAAATAAGTATGTTAAATTATATTGATTTTTAAATATTTTTTAATAATTAATAAAAAACTAAACAAAGTTGACTTACATGCAATAACAAAGTAGCAGCAAGAAATGTTAGCCCTTGACAATATCCTACTTCAGTATCATATACTGCATATGCTTTTGTTAAATGAAATAAATTGTCCTGACCAATACCTCCAGCTTCTTTAAAAAAATCATGAGCAGGGAATGTTCTATGAATATCACGCTGAATAATTCCACCACAATCACATTCCTATATTTATATAATATAAAACATTAATGCTTCTTTTAAGATGTTTAGATGTACTCTATATTTTTAAATAATTTAAAGAACTTATCAATGATCGAAATCAAGTAATAAGAAGTGAATAATTTGTAATTATTACTTTAGTGAGTAGTATTCTGTAAGTGTCCATAAGTTTTGGATCCAGGTCACCTTTAGCCAGACGTAACCAAACTTCACCACGTAAAGCTTCAGGAATTCCTTCTTTAACTAGAGCAGCTAACTGGCGGGCAGGTGGTGACTTACATGTAACCCATTTTAAGAGGACATCTTTCCATGATTCCAGCTCTAATTCATTACATTCTTTAGATACATCCCCTGTTCCACTTATTAATGGTTCATCATTATCTAAAAATATTATTTTAAAAATTCAACAAATAAACTAATTACATATTAAAATTATAGTATATTTAATTAATACCAGACAAGTTCTCGTCTTTAGGTGATATCATTTCAATTGAATTAATACTTTGTGCTCGAATAAAATTAGCCAAGTTATTTAAAGTTAAGTTCAATCGACTTTTATCCATTTCTCCAGAATTATCAATATTTAGAAGTTTATACTCAGCTTCAGAAGTACCAATATTAATCTTATAATAAATTATTTTATAAGTTGACAGTACTTTGTTTTTAAATCATACAAATAGGCTTACTTGTTGTAAATTTAAATAAAACTGATGTGTAACTTGCCGCCGACCAAAAACCCAAAACCTTTCATTTGCACCATATACTTTAATAGGTGTCTCTATTGATAATCTCACAGGTTCTTTAATTCTTTGCATAACAAGATCTACAGCAACTGTAATATATGAACATTGAGTTTCACTATTGAGAGGCTCAAATACTTTATCTGATGGATCCCAATGTCCAGTAATTATATATGTAGTTATATTTCCTTCAGTATCTAATAAATCTGTTCCCATAGATACCTAGAATAATTGAAATGAGGGTAGTAAATAAAATAGGACCACATTAATAATTACCATATCTAATAGTTGCATATCACTCTGCTTAACATTACGGCCATGACAAACAAGAACACCAAAACATCTTTCCAATTGTAATATTTTTTGCTCTGTATTGGATACAACTTGATTAACAGTCAAACAAACTTGTTTTTCAACATTAGCTCGTAGTTTAAGAAAATTTTTATCTCTTGGTACAGATACAAATGTTCCCTTATAAAATATAATTAAAATATTTTTACATACATCTATAATATTGTTATTATTAAAAAAAAAATACTTTTCCATCATCTTCTTTGATTTCTAAACTGACTTCAAATATATATATTTCAGTAGAACCATTTTTACTTTGCATGTCTAAAGTTACCCTAGAATCCAATATTGGTGATGTAGTACTCACAGTAGTTTTAGATTCTTTTTGGAAAGCTTTTACAAAACAAGTGGAAACACGGTTAACCTGTAAGTACAATGAATGCTATGATCAATTTGTTTGCACAACTGTTATATTAAGTAAATATTAAAACAGGCAGATTATATCATTGTAAAAAGAAGCACTTACATATTCTAGATATACATTTATTTAAAGTGTAGTAAAATATAAAAATATTAATATAATTATTAAATATTAGTGAGTACTTACAATAATTATGGTAAGATTATATATATGATCTTAATATTTAATCTATTGTTAATAGTTATAATTAATGTAATAGCTATAGTAAAATTACTTACTGCTTCTGAAATAGAACATTTAAATACATGACACTGAAATAAAGCATTTTTTTCACTATCACCGTGAGCCCAACTAAAAGCAAAACATGATGCTTCTTTTGTACCACTCACTCCATTTGCATAAAACATAATTCTTTCAATTTCATAGCGAGCAATTATAGTATTATTTGTACTATCAAATAATCTATAAGTAATAAATGTAATTTAAACTCTTCTTTAGCTAAAAAGAATTGATTATGAAATACATAAAAACAAATTTATAACAAACTAACATAACAGCTCCTTCGGATGATACAGGTATTGATACTGATATTTTCATATCTTGTCCAGAAACACGTTCTCTATTTAATATGGACATAATTCGTAATATTTCAGATTTATCTTTAGGTTGAGTAATACTGGCTGATCCAAGATAAGAAATCCCACCAAACATGGTTCCTTTTTGTATGATGCCTAAACATCATATTCTAACATTATTATTTGAATAACTAATAATTAATTTAAATGACTATGACAATTTTTGAATATAAATTAGTTATTAAGATTAAAAATGAGCTGAAAATAATTTGTTAGATATTTACCAAGATTATCAAGTATGTCTTCTGGTATTTTAGGTAATTGAGCAATATAACTTTCATTTTTGTCAGTCATGTTTTTATTTATTGAGCTTTGTTCTTTTTCTTCATCTAATATTTCATCAATACATTTTTGTAAATGATCCAAACCACCACTGCCACTAATACTTAACTGTGGCCGGCCATCAGACTTCTAAACACATATTTAACTTGGTAAGTAAAATGATTTTTCTACAAAATTAGCATAAAAATAAAAATTTACTAGTAATACAGTTTTAGGAATAATTTCGTATTCTTCACTTGTACTGACTGACTCATTGGAATCTACACTACTTCGATCTTCCATTAGTTTTTGTCAATCGCCATAATTAATTGTAATGCATTATACCTTAAAATTCAATCTGATGATAGTCAATTGAAATTAAGCATAATCACAAGATATATTTGGCAGATTTAGTTTAATGAATTGCAATTCGTTAAAAAGATAAAAAAATGAAAAAGCTATATAAAATTAAATTTTAATTAAAATATAAATTACACTATTATTAAGTACATAACTTAATAATTGACAATAAGAAATGCTTATTTTTTGATGTTAAAAAGTACAATATATACCAATTACATTATTTTGCAGATAATATTTTTAATATAAGGATATCCTATTATATATAAAAATGTCCACTGTATTAATATTAATATATTATTATCACTCTAGTGAATGCAATATTAAAAAGGATGAAACGAGAACTGTTAATGTAAATTTAACCATAAATAAAGTGATTGGTATCAGCTGATAATATTATGATAATATATATATAAGAATTTATAATTTTTTTAATTTTTCTTTTATGTGCCAAAGGAAAGATTTTTAATAAGACTATTTAGAGCTTCAAAAATAGAATTCACGTAAAAAATTTCCTTAAATAAACTAAAGCATACTGAATTTGTACAGTTATTCATGTCCAAAACCAAACGTGATCTTGAAAATATATGAAATGCTAAAATGTTTGGATCTTGTTTGTGTATAATATTAATACATTTCACTAAAATGCGATTCTTGGAATAAATATTATTTTCATTACTTTATTAGTTTTAACACTAATGAATTATTTTTACTTCAAACTAAAACATATAATAAATACCAATTCTAAAGAAATATTTAATGTTCAAGAATTCTACTGATAGTGTAAAAGAGTGATAAACACTCTAATGTATTCATCCAACGGTTTTCAATACGGTGATTTATGTTTTATTTAACTGGCAATTGAAATCAAAAAAATAATCCAGGATTTGGTTCAAATCATTTGTATTACAAAGAACACATAGTTTTTTTAAGTTATTATTATTTATTGTATGTTAAAGGTTATTAAATTTAAGATACTTATAAAAATGAGTACTAAATCTAAGCAAAAAAAAATGGGCGAATACGTCACATCTACCAAAGATAATCAGAAGAAACGTCCTAATGATGCTAAAGATGATTCTGAGGCTAAAAAATTAAAGTCTAATCAGGCTGAATTATGTCAAATTAATTTTAATTGTGAAAGAAAAACTTCAAATGACAAAACCTGGAATAAAAAAATTGTATCATGGAATGTTGCTGGGTTACGAGCATGGATTAAGGTAAAAAATATATTGTTGATGGTGACATTTTGATTTTACTTTTAGTTTGTTATAATGTATTGGTTATATTTATATAGAAAGATGTAATTGGTTATATCAAAAAAGAAGATCCTGATATTTTATGTTTACAAGAGACTAAATGTATAGAGAAACAAATACCAGAAGAAGCCAAACTAGAAGGCTATAAATTTTATCTTAATACAGGTGAAATATTTTTTTTTAATTTTAAATGCAAAGTAGTTATTAGTATATTTTTTATGATTTCTTTTAATACAAGTCATTAAAAAAAAAAACTTGTTATAAGTTAAATTTTTACTCCATTCCCAAATAATTTTTTCGTAGGATATTCAACTTAAAAATGATTTAACAGATTATGTATTAAATACCTTAGGTTGCATTTGGATATTTTATTCCACTGGTCAAAATGTAATGATTAATGACAGAACAATTTAATGCTGACATGTTACCATAAGTTAAGTGATATGCTTAACAAATGAATTATTCATCTTTTTGATCAGACACCTTATTACATCTCAAATCTTTTTTTGCTTCCTTTCATTTAATTTTTGTTATTCTTTGTCGTGTGCAAATTATATATCATACTTATAAAATGCAGTATTGAAGCATTATACCATTAACCCTTTAATGAAACCTTTTTAATCTCTGATAGTATTCTATTATATAATTGTTTGCTTAATCAATATATTAACTATTTATAGATATTGTACCATAAAATACTCAAGTTGAATATATTATAACATTAACTTTAAGTAATCAAATATAATATTTAATATCTATGTTATAGCTGAAAAAGCTGGTTACTCAGGTGTAGCCTTGTATTCCAAAGAGAAACCAATAAATGTACGTATGGGTAAAGAAATCAAAGAATTGAATGACACTGAAGGTCGAGTTATAGAAGCTGAATATGAAAAATTCATTCTTGTTGGCACTTGTAATAAAAATCATTTTAAAAATTTGAGCTGCAGAAATATTTTTTTGTTTTTTTGTTTAGATATTCCTAATTCTGGCCAAGGATTAAAGACATTACCAAAACGCATGAAATGGGATGAAGAATTCAGAAATTATTTAAAAAAATTAGATTTGAAAAAACCAGTAATTCTTATGGGAGATCTCAATGTAGCACATAAAGAAATTGGTAGTTATTAATTTAGCACATGAATCAATCTAATATGTAAATACAGAATGATTCTTTTAAAGTTAGCCACTTGATTTAAAATAATAATTATTAAGAAGTAGTTAAATTTTATACCTATGTAAAAAGAAGAATGCGGCCTAATATGTCTAATGATAAATATTGTTATACTGTGCTTCTCTACAGTCAATATTTTAAAATAGACATAGCTTCCAAAGTACTGGTCCAAAAGTTGTTATCGATCAGACATTTTCATAATTAGATTACTTTTTATTTTATAAGTTGGCTAAAAATGTATATTGTCATTTAAAAAATAAAGTTAGCACCCTTATAAATTAAAAAAAATACCTAGTTATTATTTTAAAAGAAATTGAGAGGTTAGCGTTAAAATCACCTAGTATAAATGTACTATTTTCTCTCATAACTATTGTATTCGGTTATTTTCTCTATATAGAATAATTATTCCTATAAAATTTAATAATTTCTAATACTCATTATTTTGTTACTATTAAGATCTCAAAAATCCAGCTACTAACAAAAAAACTGCTGGATTTACTCAAGAAGAAAGAGACAATATGTCATTATTACTTGATCAAGGTTTTATTGATACATTTAGGTTCATTAATCCAGACGTAGAAGGAGCATACACATTTTGGACTTATTTTAACAATGCAAGAGCCAAAAATGTTGGATGGTAAATAAATAAATTTATATTTTTATAAAAAAAATCTTATCAACATTAGATTAGATAGTTTTTAAATTAGTATTCAATTTTTTCTAATTACTCCATTATATGAAATTACAATTATAATTATGACAATAAAAATGCAAACAAAATCATTTGATACGTGAAACATTCTAAGAAAAAAATCTCCATTTGTATAAAGTTTTTCTTAACTTTTTATTTCATTTTAATTTTTTTTAGGAGGATTGATTACTTTATTGTATCTAAAAGATTCATGGATAATGTATGTGATAATGTCATTAGAAGTCAAGTATTGGGTAGTGATCATTGTCCTATTGTTCTGTACATAAATGTTTAAATCAAAAATCATTTTTTTATTTTTAATTGTGTATTTTGTTTAATTTAAAAAATTATTTGTTTTTAAGTGTATCCTTTTGTTTGCTTTAATGTATTTAATTTGGTTTTCAAGTATAAAATTAAATTATTATGTGTATTATGATTATTAATTTATTATTACTAATAAATTATTCAATGTTCATTTAGATAGTTTAAAAATGAAATTTTTTGTTAACGCCAACATTATTCTCAGTATATATATTTAATTGATGTATTATTTTATAGCTTGTAAACAATATAATTTATTTATTTGTCATTGTAGCCAATATATTAAATGGAAAAGAAATTATAAAATGAAATTTAATCTTATAAGTCTGACGAATTTTATTTAATGGGCTCACTCTAATGATCAAAATAAAAACTATTTTATAAGATTCTTCTAGATTGGAATCCTTTCTAAAAGAACTCTTGTTCTTGTTCAAATGTAACTAATTACATTTGTGGCAAAATTTAGATTTATTAAGTAGCCAATTAAGAAAAAAAAATGTATGTTTGGAATACTTAAACAACTCCTATTGTACCTAGTAGCAACATTGACTTTTAATGACAATATTCAATTTTTTAATTCATTAATTTTGGTCCTTTGTATGAAAAAGGTGAATACCTTTTTCACCTATAATATACCTCCTAATAAATGTATCACTTTATAAGTTATACAAGAATAATTTTAACTAGGAAGTTAAAAATTACACAATGATAAAATTATATAAATATAATTGTATTGTAATACAGTTAATAAACTATATTAACCTAATTGAAGTAGAATTTAAAATAAATTTTTCTGGAATGTTGATAATATAGGATATTTTTTTAAACTCACTGTCATTTAAGATATAATAAGGGCGTCCATTAGCAGTAACTAATATCATACAACAATCAATTAAATACTTTTTTGTCATAGTTAATTTTATTTTATTAAACTTGAATATAACATACATTTTTTTCTTTTTTGGTTATTACAACACGAACTTTTAAGTTTCAATTCATTACATTTTTTAATAAATACCTCATAAAATTCTATATGTTTCTTCACATGTTTATTTAAATTAGTAGCATGGTTTCCCTAAAATTATTAAATTACCATTAAAATTATTTTTCTTTAATAATAATAAATACAGTAGCAATCTATAAATTTGTAATATAGATTTAAACAATTTTCTTATGTTTACAATTTTTTATCTTAAAAAATGAGCTACTTTATATTATGAATTATATCCAAGAATAAACTTACATGATACACTTTAGAATAGTCTTTACACGTTGATTTATTATTTTTGTCATAGTAGATAACATAATAATTAATTACAGATTTACTTCTACACATGATATTTTGGGTAGATATTATTATTATAAATGTATATAATACTAATTTTCAAAAATATCATTAACATAAAAAAATAAGAGACACAAAATGACATGCGTTTATTAGTAGATATACATGTATTATTATAAATAGATTCCATCAGCACGCTAAGACGTAAAATGATAAAAAAATGATCATAATCACCAAATCATAAAGAAGTTAAATTTATTTCGCCATAAATCTGAACAAACTGTTATTAGTGAATGAACAGTGTATGAATACAATTGCACTATTAACTAAAAAATTATATCACTTAGTTGTAAAAATTTGAATTAAGTACATTTTTAAAAAAACATATGATTAAATTAAGTATTTATATAGTACCATGAATTCGATACGATATCATTAACTGGAAAATCCAATCAAACATAAAATAGTTATTTAAAATGTTTGTGTTATTTAAATAATAAAGATGTTTACAAGACAAAATTTTCAGAATATCATATATTTATATTTATTAACTTTATGATTGTAACATCAAATAATAATTTAATTAGTAATTAAACTTAATAAAGAACTTTTAAATTATAGAACTTATTAATTTTTCATAATTAGACTAATACTACAACACAGAGTAAGAGGACTATTGAATTCAATTTCATATTTCTCTTCAATTCTTATATAATATATAAGAATTAAAATATATATTGTATATTTTAATTAGCAACTTAAATACTTAAATAGTATAAATGTATTGTTTTAAGGATATTGAATATTTATTATTACTGAGGTATCTTATCAGTGTACTATAAAGTAACTTAATGAAATATAAAATATTAGGAAATATAAAATACAAATTCGGTATAAATTAGAATAGTTCAAATGGTCGTATGTTTTCAGTAAACAAAATAACCAATTGATATTAGATTTGTTTACAAAGGGTAAGCACACTGTCAGATATTTTTTTAATGTTTATGTTCTTTTAACTATGTAATATCACAATATCGAGATGTTAGTAACACAAAAAAACGAATAGTATTTAATTATAATTAAAAAAGAATGATTTCATGAACCAACAAATTCAATTATTTAAAATTTAATTTTTATAATTATTACTCAACAAGTTAATAATACAATATATTGTGTTGCTTATTAGCATAAGTTCTCCCCGTGAACTGCCTAGCCATCGGGTGCGTCCCCAAGACTACAAAAGTGAAACGTCCTGTAGATATGAAGGATAACAGCGAAATAAGTCGTCATAAATTTATTGGCCCTGTCGAATAAGCGGTCGCGTATAAGGGTAATGTTGATTGAATCGGTCAACCACAGACATCTTGGAGGACCTGTGCTATGAACCCACGCTGTAGACGATGAAGCACTTATCTAAGTGATTTTTAATACAGCGTGGAGACCACACATAAAATAAAGTATAAAATGTAGTTAAAATTTTAAATATTATGAAAAGTAATTAAAAATTTCCATGATGCTCTCTTACTAAGAGGGGTCGGACTTCGATTGTTTTGGTGCAACTTATTACTGGACATCCTGAATTTTTGGATGACACATTGAATAAACAGCACGTAGATGATTCAATGAAAACTCATAACATAACACTTACTCAAAGTGCAAGAACTTTTTTTCTTCGAAGACATTTAAGAAGAATACCAACATTAGTATTATTTACAGCATTAGAAATAGTTGTTTAAGCTATAGTTATAATGATAGGATAAGGGATAGTTTTGCAAGTAGCTCTAGTAATATTAATAGGAATGGTGGTACAAATAGAATGAGTTAAACGGTATGAAAAGAAAAATGCAAATATTTCATCTATTAAATGATATTAAAAACTAACTATACACATACAATAACATACGACCTACCAAATTTCTCGATAATAAATTAGAAGAACTCACGCTACCACGATACCACCATACACCAAAAAATACTCACGACTTGAAAATTGACGACTTAATAATAGACGAAGAAAATAATAGTAAAATTTTAAACACATTAACATCGAAAATAAAAATACAATATTCGAATCAAAACCCTAAGCATCTAGTACAAAGATTGGACAACGTTACAATCTAAGTCATTGAAAATCAAGGGAATACATTGCAATAATGCTGTGTGAGTAATTTTAAAATATATTTTAATTTTCCATTAATTTATTTAATCTATAAATAATTGAGGATATATAGTTTCACTTAGATAATTTTTTTACTTTAATATATCTAAATATTATCGTCACTTTTTGTACATAACAACATTGACTTGTACGATTCATTTTAATTTCAGTCATAGCGATCGNTAACAACATTGACTTGTACGATTCATTTTAATTTCAGTCATAGCGATCGACAAAGATTTAGAATAAATTAGACTGACATTGTACAGTGCAAAGATATACGGAGTTGAGAAACCTATTGAGTTACATTGGGTGATTTATTTGTGTTGGCTGATCAACTTAGAGCAGACGTTGTTGTCATGTCACCCCCCTGGGGCGGTTTTAGTTATTCAAAAAATAAGAAATTTACTTTAAAAGACATGTGCCGTGAGCAGTGAAATAACGGCTTCAAAATTCCTCAATTTTAGTATAGTATTTTAGTATATATATATCAAATTTAAAATTTTAAAAGGTAAATTATAATAATATGTTTTTTCAATAAATGAACTTTAACAAATAAATGTAAAACCTGAATATCATTTTTATCATTTTATATTTAACTACATAAAATTTTTTTATACTATGTCAATAAGATTGATATATTTATGAAAATCAGTGTAATCCCCTTATAATAAAATAGAATACAAAACCAAGAATTTTAACACAAAAATAGCATATTTTTGAATACGGTAGCTATTTTCACCATGAAGACAAAATAAAGTCCAAAATTTTTAATATTAAAGTATATTACATAAGCTATAATTTAAGATATATATAAAAATGTCAGTATTTCCGGAACACTTTCAAAAATTAAGTTGAAAAAGTTCTACTTTCTATATGCATTTTTATGTTTTGAACACCCCCTGTATTAAGGGAAATAGTCCGATTTAAAATAAAAGTATGTAGAATGAAAGAAGTATATAAATATTATTTCTTATAAAAAAATTGTACTGATCCATACATTTTTCAAAAAGTTATAACATTTTAAAGTTAAAAATGTAAAATATAAAATCGAGAATTTTAACACAAAAATAGCAAAACAATACTTAAAAAAAAAATCGAAAAACAAACAAATTTTAAACACTAACCAAAAATTTTGAAGAAATAACTTTAATGACAAAAATGATATATAACAGAAATGCTATAAGAATCAATACCTGTTAATTTACTGACTTTTGCAGCTAGCACAAGTCATAGTTCTGCAGGTAATACTGATATGTCAATAGTAATAAAAAATAATAAATTGAAGAATTCAGCCAATTTTAATTTACTATATTTTCATTTTTAGTATAATTGTTTTTTTTTTTTATATAAAAACAGTTTAAAACGGGATTTATATAAAATTGTAATAATAATTCACTTTTTTTTTATTAAAACAAGTGTTCATATTAATACTGATTTGGTTATTATTTCTTACACTTGTATGAATAGTTTGACTAAAAATAATAATTGATTATATACTTTAATATTTCCTTTAAGTACTCTTTTTATATTTAAAAATATAGAAGTAGGAATAAATTCTTTTAAATTAGTATTCAATTAGTGTATATATTCTAATATAATAAAAAAATTGTCAATAGTTATTCAGAATTTAACATTTATAATAAAAATGAAGGTGAGTAACGCACATTATCTGAGTTGCTCATTTGAAATCTTAAAAATCATTTTATTTTATTTTAGAATTGGCAATTAATATCTCTTATTTTGATAATATCCTATGTGATATTTAATGAAGGTAAATTATATTTTACATTATTTATACAATTTTTATATGTATTACCTTCAATGAGAAGCTGAAAAGGTAATTTGAATATGATTTTTTTTTCTGTGTCTGTACCATTCATTCTCAGCTCTCACAGATTCGATTTTGATGAACAATACGTCAAAGATCACAAATTGTATCTAGTCAAAGATATTACCCTCAAAAATTGAAAAAATTTCCCTCTTTTCACGTATATAGGAAACCCTCAAAAAAATTACTATAATAAAAATCGGTAATTTTCGACATCATTAAAACTTGTTTTACTTAAAACTGGCATAAATTTTTTAAAAATGAACAAATTAATATAATTTTATTTTATGGATACCTTAGGTATTTAACTGTCATTTGGTATATTTTAATAACCATTTGACACTTTACCGGCCAAAAAGGGTGGGTTTCAAAATAACAACTTTTTCACAAAAAATTAACTTATTTAACTTAACTTTTGAAATTGTAAAGCTTATGTAATATACTTTAATTTAAAAAAAAAAATCATGCTGAAAATGTTCAACGTATTTAAAAATATGCTATTTTTGTATTAATATTCTGGGTTTTGTTTTTTATTTTTATTTAAAATACTTTACATGGGGAGTTCACTGATTTTCATAAACATAATTGAAATAGCATATGATGTTAAACTTATTTAAGTTTTTTTGCTTCAATTTTACAATGAAAAATTAAAGAGATAAAATACACCAATGTACCCTCCTCAAAAGTACAAAAAACACCTAATATGAGATTTAAATTATATAAAACTATTCTCGACACTAGAGAAAAACACAGATTTTTACCAATTAATAACTGTACCATCAAAAGCATTAAGATATCATTAACTGATATTTATGAACACAATATTCTAACTACTGGAATAAAACCAAGATTAATTATAAAAATATTTCATAATATGGTCATAATAATTTAATTAATTAATTTTTTATTTTGTAACTAAAATAATGAGTTGAATAATTATAACATGTATATAACGATTAAATATATAAACTAGGGTAAAAATTGAATGTCTTTTTTTTTTTACGCTACCCCTTAATTTTTTTTTAATGGTCAAAAAAATGAGCTGTGCAAAATTTGGGACCGATCCGTTAAGGTTAACCCGTGCCCCCGGGCCTATTAAGTTGAGTCGAAGAGTCAAATTTAATAGAAATAACTGATCTATGTCCCATAACTTTTTTTTCTCTTAACCTCGAATAATAAAAGTAAAACTCAAGTAAAGGAAATTTTACAAGAAATTCAAAAATAATAACTTCAATGTTGTTTTATCAATAAATAGCCCACAAAAACACTACATACAGTAAAAAACATGTAAAAGTCTTAAAATACGTTATAACTGATTTTGTTGATTTTTAATTATTTATTTTCATTTTATTTTTTGGAAAACGCATATTCGTTTAAAAAAAGATTCTAGAAGTTTAATTTTTTATGCCAAGTACGATAATTATATTAGATTTATTATTTTATGGACAGTTAATTAATGATTAATTACAAACCTAACAGTTTAATTTAATTGTTATTAACAATTTTTAATTTATTTTTTTTTTAAATAATAATAACTTTAAAAAAAATATTTTAACAATAATTAAATTATATTATTATAATATATTTTTTGATATTGTACTTTTTTTACAATTAGGAAATTTTTTCCGATAATTACTTACTATTTGTAAAACGTATTGTTTCTGTTCTTCAGTTGTAGTTAATATATTAATGTAGTCTTAAATTAATTTAATGCCACGCTAGGCTGTATCATTAATGTTCGCAATTTACTTATAGTATTTAAAACATTTATATAACTGTTGTTCGCACTCCAAAATGATGGATCAATTTTCAAAAAATCAGTGTTCAGATTAAACAGTTGTAAATTTGATGGTAACTTACTACCAGTTATTTCGTGGGAATAATTACCAATAAGATAAATAAATATTAGTTCGTAATACTTTAAAAGACGCTAAAAGTATTGTACATTTGTGATTAAAACGTATCATTTAATATATAATAATAAACAGGTAAAATATATTTAACGTGTTCACAAATTGTCTGCTGCATTTATACGACACAAATTATGTCAGTTGTCGAAAATAACTCAAATATTCTTATCTTTAATAATAATATAATTGGTACTATCTTAAAGTAATTCAGTAAACCAAAATTGATATATTGATACGACAAAATGTAATAATACAATCAATTTTGTTAAATTTGTTATTAATTATTAATTAACTGTCCATAAAATAATAAATCTAATATAATTATCGTACTTAGCATAAAAAATTAAACTTCTAGATTCTTTTTTTAAACAAAAATGCGTTTTCCAAAAAATAAAATGATAATAATTAATTAAAAATCAACAAAATCAGTTATAACNAAATAAATAATTAAAAATCAACAAAATCAGTTATAACGTATTTTAAGACTTTTACATGTTTTTTACTGTATGTAGTGTTTTTGTGGGCTATTTATTGATAAAACAACATTGAAGTTATTATTTTTGAATTTCTTATAAAATTACCTTTACTTGAGTTTTACTTTTATTATTCGAGGTTAAGAGAAAAAAAAGTTATGGGACATAGATCAGTTATTTCTATNAGTTAAGAGAAAAAAAAGTTATGAGACATAGATCAGTTATTTCTATTAAATTTGACTCTTCGACTCAACTTAATAGGCCAGGGGACACGGGTTAACCTTAACGGATCGGTTCCAAATTTTGCACAGCTCATTTTTTTGACCATTAAAAAAAAATTAAGGGGTAGCGTAAAAAAAAAAGACATTCGATTTTTACCCTAGTGTATATATTTAATCGTTATACAGGGTGATTTTTTTATCATAACCCACTCAATTACTTGCAGAATAATAATAATTTAAACATTTTTTTTTTTTATTATCTTTAGTTACACATTATTCTTGAATTTTTAACTATGTAATACTTTTTAAGTTCATCCCTTATGCCTTGGAAGGGGGTCAACTTTGTTTTTTTAAATGGTAACACATATTTTTAATTTAATAAAATGTTTGAGTTTTTAATTTAATAGTAAATGGCATTTGAATTTTTAATATAACTTTATTAGCTTATTAGATATAAACATTTAAAGTTTCAAAATTTTAATACACATATATAAATTAATACACATGGGATTGTAAATACAGGTAGCTAATTGGATTTTTATGACATTGCTGTCTCAGTCACGGATTGTTTATTATCAATTATGATTATCAATAGATATACTTTCTGTATTGTCAGTTAGTGTATTTATAAACTCATAACAATGTGCCTTACTACAATTGATAATAACAATGCTGTGTACCTGCTAATATCGATGTTATAAAAAACCAATTAGCTACCTGTATTTGTAATCCCTTGTGTATTATACCTGTATATTAATTCAAAAATTTGAAACTTTAAATGATTATATCTAATAAACGAATTAAGTTATATTAAAAATTCAAATGCCATTTACTATTAAATTAAAAACTCAAACATTTTATTAAATTAAAAATATGAGTTACCATTTAAAAAAACAAAGTTGACCCCCCTCCAAGGCATAAGGGATGAACTTAAAAAGTATTACATAGTTAAAAATTCAAGAATAATGTGTAAATAAAGATATTAAAAAAAAAAAATATTTAAATTATTATTATTCTGCAAGTAATTGAGTGGGTTATGATAAAAAAATCACCCTGTATATTAAATATACAATAATATAAAGAACAAATACAAAATTGTGGTTTGAAAACAACAAAAAACTATAATTAATTTATTTGATTATGCGCAGGCTTTTACTGATTTTTTAATGCTAAATTTCACATATTACACTTTTTTCTCAAACTTCAAATTTTTATGGTGTATTAAAGAGAAATATATCTAAAAAATTAAAAAAATGTTTTCTGAAATTAGGTCTTCCAACAGAAATAATGCATCTTTAATATGTGTATTTAAAAAAAAAATCTAACTTTGTAGGCCTCTAAGTCCCAAGAAAATTATTTTAAATTTAGTTGAAACATAGATTATATATCTTACAATACCACATTTGAAAATCACTATAAACGTATTTAATTATGCTCAAAATAGCCAATTTACATAGAAACGTCATTTTTAAAAAGTCATTAAAGTTTAGAATTTCACATAATTTTTTTTTTAATGTAAACTTTAAGTTATAATAATGTCAAGTCTAAAATTATAATTTGATTAAGTTAATATTGAATAATCTGTGTGTTTTTAACGTTCTGGCTATTTTTAACATTTTTACATTAAAACCCCATAAAAATGGGAAAGTTGTAAAAATATTGTTTTAATCTTAATTTAACATAAAGCTTAAACCCTGAAAATTTAAGAAAAAATGAGATAGTTGTGTAATCACTTCTGGATGATATGGCATGGATTGACCTCAAATAATAAGAGTATAAAATTTGTTTTTATACTAAATTACACTGTAAAATTATATTACTAATTGTAAATTGAAATTTTTTTTAATCAGCATAAAACAAAATATATTTTGCTTAACCACATTTTTATTCAGATTTCAAATCTTCATTTAGATTAATTTCCATCGACTCTTTTTTTTTTGAGATTATTACTAAATTATATAAACGAGCATTTACATTTAAAAATTGATTTTGATTTTTAATATGCTTTATAAATAATCCATGCAAAATATTGATTCAAAATATCATGTTTAACCCGTAATTACAGATACAGAGAAAAAATATATCACTACTGGTACAGTGCGGTGTGACACATCGCTACGTTTAAAGAGCGATATTTCGATCTTTTAAGATCAAGTATTTCAATATGTTCATCCATATATATTACAATTATAATATAGACAACTATTTTGAACCTTATTTATTATTTAAAAAATGTATTATCGTATTATTTCAACGAAACTTAATTAATTTCAAAAACATAAAAATCAAATTATTTGTTAAACATTTTTTTCGTTCTAGGATTTTTCAAAATAAGTTACTAAGGCTAAAATCTATATATAATGGTTTTAGACACAACCTAAAACTAAATTTTAAAAAAATATATACATATATATCATTTTTTTATATAAAAATAACCCTAGACAAAACTCCAGTTTTAATGTTTTATTTCAATACTTTATTTCTACAAAATTTTTATTTTATTCATTTAAGTATAAAAACGAAAGAGAACAATATTTTGGAGATGATCTCATATGCGTTTTTGAATATATTGTATTATTAAAGAGTTATAATTGATTGAAGTATAATAAAAAAGTACATTTTCAAATTCAATTATCAAGCTTAATATTAAGTTAATCCCTAAATGGCCATAAGATTGTCTTCAAAATATTGTCCTCTTTAAATTTTGTAATAGGTGTTAAAGCTCTAAATGTAATACAGAGTGAGTAAAATGCATTCTTTTAAGATATGTTTTAGATCACTTTTGTAGTTTTTGTCGACTAGTGCTGTTCCTATCGATTATATTTTTAAAATATTAACAGATGATTGTACCAGTTAAGGGTTAACCTATTTTTATGAAATTTATAATTTAAAAATGTTGAACTTTTAAACTTTTAGCTTCGATGCGAAGCTGAAAAGGTATTGGTTTTACTATAATGTGTTTTTTTTTTGTCTGTTACCACTTTTTCTTAGGTCTCAACGAACCGATTTATTTCAATGATACGTCAAAAGATCACAAATCGTATCTAGTCGANATTTAAAAATGTTGAACTTTTAAACTTTTAGCTTCGATGCGAAGCTGAAAAGGTATTGGTTTTACTATAATGTGTTTTTTTTTGTCTGTTACCACTTTTTCTTAGGTCTCACCGAACCGATTTATTTCAATGATACGTCAAAAGATCACAAATCGTATCTAGTCGGAGACATTACCCTCAAAAATTCAAAAAATTTCCCTCTTTTCACGTAAATGGAGGAAACTTCCAAAAAAATTACAAATTTAAAAATCGCTAATTTTAGAAATTTTTTTTACTTAAAATTGCCATAACTTTTTTAAAAATAACCAAATCAATATAATTCTTTTTTTTAGATGCATGATGTCTTTACCAATCATTTGGTATAATTTTTTTATAAATCTGTCTCATAATCTGCCTAAAGGGGGGATTCAAAATGACTTGGTTTACAAAAAATTTNATCTGTCTCATAATCTGCCTAAAGGGGGGATTCAAAATGACTTGGTTTATAAAAAATTTACTTTTTCAACTTAATTTTTGAAAGTGTTCCAGAAAGTCTGACACTTTTATATATATCTTAAATTAAAGCTAATGTAATGTAATTTATTATAGAAAAAAAATTTTGGACTTTAGTCTTAATGGTGAAAATGGGTACCGAATGCTATTTTTGTGTGAAAATTCTCGATTTTATTTTTTACATTTTTAACTTTATAATGCTATAACTTATTGAAAAATGTTTAGATCAACACAATTTTTTTATGAGAAATAATGTTTTTTAATAATCCTTTTTTCATTCGACATACTTTATCTTAATCAGGATATTAATAAGGAACTAGCAGATCATGTAGCTTTTGGAATAATCCACCAATTAAACAATATCTACAGATTTGGATCCATGAGTTTTTTATGATAGTGATTTTAATTTTGTCAGATATCATTATACTTGATCCAACTATGCCACGTCATCACTGTGCCGCAACCTCACTATGCTGGGTTTTTTTTATTAGTTTAACTTACAAGTTTAAAATTAATATCATTAAATACAACATTTTATAAGAATTTAAAAAATGGTATTTTTAGGATTAATAAGCAGCCGGGAAATTTTCACGTTTCCGTCGGGACAAGACCTACTTCCCACTCCACTTACCACTACTGCGACTGGAAGGAACTGATTAAAGGCTTGCGCCGCCTATTTTGGACGTGAGCGGCCGTGATCGTCCCGAGTATTGTGTCGGAGATTCGGCCAGTTTTGCTACAGCCGTTATTGTGGTGGTTGCCTAAGACAGCGAACATGAGGCCATGGTCATGCCGGACCATCGCTTCGTCTCCGTGTTTTTCCTTGGTTAACCCGCTTGGTCACACCGCAATCGCAATTCCCACACTTCTGCTATTCTAACTCGGTTACTACTCCAATTCAGCAGCTTTTCGAGGGTTTTCACTAATAATGCTACTACCTGCCGTATCAGCATTTTTATCTGTTGGCGTATCATTGTCGCGAATTCGGCGGCTAATGGTAGGCTTCCCCTTACTGCTTGTTGTTGGTCATCCTGTAACAGACAATGGTTGTTAGGAATACTTCCTGAAATCCGATCTGGATAAGGGATGTGCACGGTAAGACGAATTGTGATCAGCAATATTTTTACCGAAATATTGAGAGGATTTATCTCCCCCTGGTAATTTTAATTTTCCCAACGAAGACATCGCAGTTTTGGTTATCCAACTGAAGTTATGGTCATTTTTGGCTTTTTCGGTGAAATAATAGCGTCGGACGCTAAACAATCACTCTGTTCGTTAGTCAACAATTATTCGGTAAATAAGTTTGTGGTTCAGACCCGGAGGTCATAAAGTGAATCTTTGTCAGATGTCACTACTCTCCAGTATTTGCGAACCTTTTTTCTTCTCTGTTATTTTCTTCAGCAGCATGATTTTTCGCTTCTCCGATGCCTTTTTAGGTTTCTGATTGGAGAGGATTTTTGGTTTGAACGGGGTAAAACTTCATGTTCCCCGCATTAACATCCTCTTACATGAGAAACTTCTCAAGCCTGATCATGAGATTAGCTTTGGTTCCGTCAGTTGTGAGTCGACGTAGCACCAACATACTTTGTAATTCCTTAATTAAAAGCTCAATTATGGTCTTACCTGAAATATTGAGTGAAAAAATTTAAAGTATAAATAAATTACAAGTACCATAATAAATATTATTTGGCATATGGATTTGCGTAATATCTATTTTTAGTACAAATAACATTAGACAAATTTCTGTATAAAAAGTTTATGCCTATTGCTTATGTATACCTTAATCCCAATCTGTCAGACGAGAAAAGGTAGCTTTGTCGCAGTCACCATATATTGAAAAAAAATATTTATCATTAGTCAAACTATGTGGGCATGACTAAAGTATACTTAAGACTAACAATAATAATTGGAGTTCACCTTAAGTAATAAATTACATTTTTATAACTTAATAAATGAAACATTTAATTGAACTACTTTTCTCTTAATTAAATATACTTATTTAATAATCTAGAATACTAAAGATTTTATTTATAAAAATAAAAATATTTTAATAAAGCAAATATTAATAAACAATTGTTATCATGTAGGGATTCAATATTCAGGTGACGATGTAATATACCAATTTGAAAAAGGTACCACTAGAAAAGCTGCTGAAAACGGAAACTTAGAATTTTTAATATATGCCCGTGAAAATGGATGTGAATGGGATGATGATACGACTATTGTAGCTGCATCAAATGGTAATTTGGAATGTTTAAAATATGCTCATGAAAATGGATGTGAATGGAACGAAGAAACAACAAAGGCTGCTGCTACAAAAGGATATTTAGAAATCTTAAAGTATTTACATACAAATAAATGTCCGTGGAATGAAAGCACGACAGAAGCAGCTGCAAAATATGGTAATTTGGAATGCTTAAAATATGCATATGAAAATGGCTGTGATTGGAATGAACTCACTATTGTGTTCAGTGCTATTCAAACAGATAATATAGAAATGTTAAAATATGCCCACGAAAATTTATGCGAGTTGAATAAAGATGTAACTATTATGGCTGCCTTAAAAGGTAATCTAGAAATTTTTAAATATTTACATAAAAATAAATGTCCGTGGGATGAAAGGACAATAGAAGCAGCTGCGATTACTGGAAATTTAGAATGTTTAATGTATGCTCATGAAAATGAATGTCCATGGGATAAAACGACAACACATTTGGCTGCTTCTTATGGTCAGTTAGAATGTTTAAAATATGCTCATGAAAATGGATGTTTGTGGGATGAAAGCACAACAGAAATGGCTGCTAGTAATGGACATTTGGAATGTTTAATATATGCCCATCAAAATAGATGTCCATGGAATAAAAGAACGACTCATGCAGCTGCAAACAATGATAATTTAGAATGCTTAATATATGCATATGAAAATGGCTGTGAATGGGATGAATTAAATATTGTGTTAAGTGCTATTCAAAATAATAATCTAGAAATGTTGAAATATGCCCATAAAAATTTATGCGTATTGGATAAAGTTGCAACTACTATGGCTGCCTTAAAAGGTAATCTAGAAATTTTAAAATATTTACATAAAAATAAATGTCCATGGGATGAACGGACAACAGAAGCAGCTGCTGCTAAAGGTAAATTAGAATGTTTAAAATATGCTCATGATAATGGATGCCCGTGGAATGAAAGGACAACAGAAGCAGCTGCTGCTAATGGACATTTAGGATGCTTAATATATGCTAATGAAAATGAATGTCCATGGAATAAAAACACGACTGATGCAGCTGCAAAATATGGTAATTTAGAATGCTTAATATATGCTTATGAGAATGGCTGTGAATGGAATCAATTCAATATAGTGTTAAATGCAATAAAAAAAGGTAATCTAGAAATGTTAAAATATGCTCACAAAAATTTATGTGAATTGAATAAAGACGCAACTTATATGGCAATCTTATCAAATAATCTAGACATTTTAAAATATTTACATCATGTTAATTGTGCTTGGGATGAAAGCTCAACAGAAGCCGCTGCTATGACTGGTAATTTAGAATGTTTGAAGTATGCTCATGAAAATGAATGTCCTTGGGATGAAAGAACAACAAAAGCAGCAGCTTCCAATGGTAATGTAGAATGTTTAAAGTATGCTCATGAAAATGGATGTCCATGGGATAAAAACACTATAAATGCAGCTGTTTCTAATGGTCAATTGGAATGTTTAAAATATGCCCATGAAAACAAATGTGAATGGGATGAAGATACAACTTTTGAAGCTGCTATGAGGGGTAATTTGGAATGTTTAAAATATGCTCACGAAAATGGTTGTCCTTGGGATGAAGTCACAACAGATGTGGCTGCTTTTTACGGAAAACTAGAATGTTTAAAATATGCACATGAAAATAAATGTCCGTGGGATAAGAACACAACACGTGGAGCTGCTGTTTATGGTGAATTAGAATGTTTAAAATATGCTCATGAAAATGGATGTCCTTGGGATGAAAATACAACACGCGGAGCTGCTTCTAGTGGTGAATTAGAATGTTTAAAATATGCTCATGAAAATGGATGTCCTTGGGATGAAAATACAGCACGCGGAGCTGCTTCTAGTGGTAAATTAGAATGTTTAAAATATGCTCATGAAAATGGATGTCCTTGGGATGAAAATACAACAGAAAGAGCTGCTGCTAATGGACATTTAAAATGTTTAATATATGCTCATGAAAATGGATGCTTTTGGAATGAAACTACGACAAGGGCGGCTGCACATAACAGTAAGTTTGAGTGTTTAAAATATGCCCATATAAATGGATGTCCGTGGGATGAAGCCACAACTAGAGCTGCTGCAGCAAGTGGGTGTTTAAACTGCTTGATATATGCTGATGTAAAGGGATGTAATTGGGATAAAGATACGATAGCTGCAGCAGCTGTGCATGGTAATTTAGATTGTTTAAAATATGCCCATAAACATGGATGTGAATGGGTTGAAGGGACAATGAGATTGGCTGCTGCGAATGGACATTTAGACTGCATTAAATATGCCCATGAAAATGGTTGTGAGTGGGACGAAGGCACAACAAGGGAAGCTGCTGCTAGTGGTTATATTGACTGTTTGGTATATGCACATAAAAATAAATGTCCATGGGACGAAGGGACAAAGAGTAGTGCTGCTGCAAATGGTCACATAGACTGCCTAAAATATAGTCATTTAAATGGGTGTGCGTGGGACGAAGGGACAACAAGACTTGCTGCTGCAAATGGTCAATTTGATTGCATAAAATATGCCCATGAAAATTATTGTCCATGGAGTAGAGGGACCATTTATGAAGCTACTCAACAAAATTATATTAGTATAATCAACTATGCTGTAGAAAATGGCTGTCTTAATTAATTTTTATTTAAATATAGTTATTTTGATTTTATTCTTTTAAGTTGCCTATTATTACATTATTTTTAAATTTAATTAATTTGAATTTTGATATATATCTGAAAAGGTATTGATTTATCATCACTAAATATACCAATTTAGAAGAATTAATTGAGAAGATAAATATGAAAACCAGGACTATATTTATTTAAACAAATCGTAACAACTCAATTAACGTTTGGTATTTAAATATGTATTTCATGAAACACTATGCTTCTAATTCGTACCTTGAAATTTTTTAAGATTAAGTCAAAAAAATAAAGTTTGTTGTAATTAGTTTGAACCCGTAGTTCTTTTTGGGCACAACCTGTGTAAGATACATTTGGATAACTTGAATTGCTCTTTTGCTCCGTTTTATTAAAAAATAAAAGTATCGTATTAGAATTTACGAGGAACAATGCAAAGAGCTCACATTATATTTTAAGTTTGTATCGATATTTTATGATCAATATCAAAAATTAGTACCAAAAATTCATAAGGATTAATGTATGCGACTTAACATTATGAAGTCCAAAGATTCTTTACAATTTACAGGACCCACTTATTGATGTCCATTAATAAGATCCAAAAATGAGTTGTCCTACAAGTATAACAAGTCATATTTTAGCTTCGATGTAAAGCTGAAAAAGTATTAATCTGAATATGATGTGTTTTTTATTTTTGTTTATATTATCATATAATCATGTTTATTGTATAATATTCAATAATATGCTATTTTTGTGTTAAAGTTTTGGGTTTTGTATTTTAATTTATTTTAATATACTTTAAAATCCATGGGGTACACTGATTTTCTGAATATTATATAATACTAATATTATATAACATAAAGTTAAACTTATTTCAATTTTTTTTTTTTAAATCAGCTTAAATTGCCAATTTTATTAAAAAATGAATGTGACGAACATTTGCCGATTCAGTAAAAATCATTTACTGTGTTAATGATTTTTTTAATTTTCATTAATTCTTATTGAGTTAGAATTTTGATTTTGGTTTAATCCATCAATTTCTTATAATTAAACACTATCTACAGATTTGCATCGAAACCTTTCTTATGATAATGATTTTAATCACAGTCAGATATCATCTATACTAGTCCCAACTATTCCACGCTCACACTGTGCCGCGACCGCACTCTTCTATCGTTTTTTTTTTAAATCGGACCATTTCTCATCATACAAGGGATGAAATCAAATTTTTAAACATGCGTATAGAAAGTAGAACTTTTTCAACTTAAATTTTGATGGTGTTGTGGAAATATGCTATTTTTAAGTTTTTATAATTTAATTAAATATTATATAATTTTTATAATAAATTATTTCAAGTTATTATTGATTTTGATTTCTAATATGTTAAAAATAATTAATTTTAACCTACTTTTGTTCCTTTAAAATGAAAGTCTATAATAAAAAAAAAAATGATTTTATTACCACAACATTAGCTCAACTTACAAGTTTAGATTTGATATCATTACATAGAAAATTTTATGAGATTAAAAAATATGATATATTTAAGATTACTATGCAGTCAGGAAATTTTATACTTACTAATTACAGTAAATTCATCAGAAAAGTTCGATTTTTTTGCATTTTTATCGTAATAGATGACTTAAATATATCATAGTAATCATTTTTAATTAACTTGTGGAGTGTAAAAAGATTTACAATTAATATATTAAGAACTTCATTAAATTTAATGATTAACTTTAAATAATGAACTAATCGAAAAGTTCTGAAAAAATCAACTCAATTTAGTGTATTTTAAAATTGATTACAATAGTAAAAAAACTGTTGTTAAATTCAGGTGAAACTAAAAATCATTTTTTTAGAAATGATTTATGTAGAAACATTTTACCAATAAAATTGTAATATTATAGACTGGCAGTAGCACACGCAAATAGAGTTAAAAAATTTATAAATTACAAAGAAAATTATTTTACTTTGTAGTTGAAATCTTTTATCATATCAAATTTAATTCTACTAAATATTCTAACTAAATAGGAATTGTAATCATATGACGTATCGTTGAAAAAATAGGTCAAGTGAGGGTTGGGTTAATTTTAAAGTTTTTCGACTTTAATAAAGCAAAAACAAATTTAATGAGTTTAACCATATTCAATGTCAATTTAATTAATAATATTGATTAAATCAGTGTATTCCCCTTCTAAGGTTTTTTAAAATAAAATAAAATACAAAACCCAGAATTATAACACACAAAAAGTATATTTTTGAATACGGTAACCATTTTTACCAAGAAAAAAATTTATATTTAAAATTTGTTTTATTATTAAAGTATATTACTAAGTATATTTTACTAATTAGTTTAAACTATAGGATATAACTATAAGAAATAAAGTTCTGAATATTTTAATTGTATAATCTGTTTAAACACCAAGAGTTTCATAAAAATGATATATAATTCTATCGAAAGGATTTATTACGATATAAATACAAATAATATAATAAGTTATACTAAAGAAATGTTAAGCTTTTTTCATAAATTTACTATTACAGTAATTATATAAGTTTCTGATCATATATCAATCTAAACAAAATCATTTTTCTTTTAGCTTCGATGCGAAGCTGAAAAGGTATTGGTTTTACTATGATATGTTTAAATTAATTTAAGATATAAATAAAAGTGTCAGACTTTCCGGAACACTTTCAAAATTTAAGTTGAAAAAGTTCTACTTTCTACATGCATTTTTTAGATTTGAACCCCCCTCGTATATAGGGAAATGGTCGGATTTAAAAAAACAGTATGTCAAATGAAAGATGTATATAAATACTACTCCTCATGAAAAAATTGTACTGATCCATACATTTTTCAAAAAGTTATAGCATAATAAAGTTAAAAATGTAAAATACAAAATCGAAAAATTTCACACAAAAATAGCATTCGGTAGCCATTTTCACCATGAAGATAAAATAAAGTCCGAAATTTTTTTTTAGCATAATAAAGTATATTACATTAGCTTTAATTTAAGATATATATAAAAGTGTCA